AACCCGGGAGCAGACGGTCACTGTGGCTTCCGAGGCGTCGCCAGGGCAGTCTTTGGCCAAGAAGACTCCTACATGCTGGTTCGACAACGCTGTCACCAAGTCGTGCTGGAGCTGCCCCAGCTCTGGCAGAGCATGTACGGCCCCTTGCTGGACGACGACTCTGACGACACTTGTCAGCTGCTGTGGAGGAAGACGCAAGACAAGAGCAACAACAATCAGTGGGGCTGGTTCGAGGCCCACAGCCATGCTCTGGTGGTGGCTGCTGCTTTCGACAGCCTTGTCGTGACGATCTTGCCTCCTGTTGCCTTTCCTCCGCCTTCCGCCACCCGTGCTGCCCCCTCTGCAGCATCCAACAGCTCCTCAATCAAGATCACCATGGTCAAGGAAGCTCAGCTTTGCACTGTCATGGAGAGGACGGCCTACCTCTCCTAGCCACTCATGGTGCAGGCTTCAATCAGCAAAAGGATCATTTGCCTTGTCCTGATTGGCAACCACTTAATGCTGGCAGAGGGTGTGTGGGGGTTATTGCTCGATTCTTTCTGGGAGAACCCCTTTGCTTCCTTCATGACTGTGCATGCAGAGCCTTTGGCACAGGTTGTGCTGTTGGTCATGAGAGCAAAGATGATGCAAGAAGAATGGTTATCCTGGCATGGTGGTGGAGATTGATCATTCATGCGGTGCGGTGCTCTTTACAACTGCGACGCTCATCACGACCAAGATGCTCTTCACAACTGCGACACTCTTCACAAAGCAATGCAATGCACCGCTCCTCCTTACAACTGAGAACACTTTTACGACTGCAACGCTCTTAACGATTGCAACGCTCATTACGACCAGGATGCTCTTTACAACTGATGCACTGTGACGCTGATTACGATGCTCATTACCACCAAGATGCTGATTACGACGCTCATCACGACCGAGATGTTGATTACATTACGATTGCGACGCTTTTTACGACTGCGACGCTTCTACGACGTTGCTGCTCTCTTTCTTGCCGACATTTGCTGCACCTCGCCTTTGCTGTTGGTCTTGCTCTCGCCGCGTCTCGTTCTCAACGCTCTCGGTCTTACTCTCGCTGCTCTTGCTGCTCTCGCCATCTGTATCTCTCGAGCCTCAACGATGGTGGCAATTCTCCGAGTTTTTCAAGCTCTCAAGGTTTTGCGCCTGACCGTAATTTGCAAGCCACACCAGCAGACTAGCAATGCATGGGTTCGAACGCAGTCTGCCTGTATTTTTTTTTGTTTTCGGTGTAGAGCCCCATTAGTGAAATAACACGCCGCGACGCAGTCGACGTAAAACCACTGCAGTGCTTCCATCTGTCTGTGTCATTCGTACCGGCGCAATTCGACAGAAAAGAGCATCGCACAATTTGTCTAAGCTGCAGCGCGAGGTACTCGCTCTCATGACCACACACGTCTCCTATTTTTCTCTTCCGAAAACGTCGCTGGAAACGCTCGGTCATAGAAAGCCGAAAAGTCACCCTGACGGGAGACCCGGACAGTAGATCCCGATCTTAATTTTTTTAAGGTTTCTCAAAGGTGCCGAGATTGAAAGTACTTATACTAGTCAAGACGTTCAGTCACCTGATGTACTCCGACGACGAAAATGCGCTTCCACTGATCTTTGCACGCCTTGCCTGGGGTCCATCTTCGCTGCGAGATAATTTGCTCGTAATAGCAAGCCAGCGTTGTGGCAAGGCCGTGCATTCACAGGCTTCTGCTTAGCATTTCTCCGGGTATTCGCGTCGCATCTCTTCGTTTGCTCAATGTGGTCGTCGAAGGGATGGGGCAAAGAATTCCCATCGATGATTGCGTTGAGTCGGACGCGAGATATCTCCCGCGAATGTGGAAAATTGTCATAAACAACTTTTGGTGCAGCCTTTCTTGACGTTTTAAACAAAAGAGAAGCGGAGAGCCGTTGCTTTAGAAGAGCTCCGCCGACGTATTCAATGCTAAACTTGCTTGGAGGCAACTGAAAACACAATTCGACTGGGCGTCGCGAAAAAAGATGAGGCGAATGGAGCCCTCGAAGAAGTTTTGAGGTTCAATCACTTTTCGCCGAACTGACTTCCAATTTGCGTTAAGAAACTGACAAGACTGTTCAGCAGGGGGCCAAGGGGGAAAAAAAAAAAAAAAAAAAAAAAAAAAAAAAAAAAAAAAAA